AAATGTACACACAAACACAATCACACATGTACACACACATACACAATCACACATGTACAAACAATCACAATCAGAAATGTACACACAAACACAATCACACATGTACACACACATACACAATCACACGTACACACATACACAATCACACATGTACACACAAACACAATCAAACATGTACACACAATCACAATCAAACATGTACACACAATCACAATCACACATGTACACACAATCACACATGTACACACAAACACAATCACACATGTACACACAATCACACATGTACACACAAACACAATCACACATGTACACACAAACACAATCACACATGTACACACACATACACAATCACACATGTACACACAATCACACATGTACACACATACACAATCACCCACGTACACACATACACAATCACACATGTACACACACATACACATGTACACACAAACACAATCACACATGTACACACAATCACACATGTACACACATACACAATCACACATGTACACACAAACACAATCACACATGTAGTGTGTGATTGTGTATGTGTGTGTATACATGTGTGATTGTGTTTGTGTGTACATGTGTGATTGTATGTACATGTGTGATTGTGTTTGTGTGTACATGTGTGATTGTGTATGTGTGTACATGTGTGATTGTGTATGTGTGTACGTGGGTGATTGTGTATGTGTGTACATGTGTGATTGTGTGTACATGTGTGATTGTGTTTGTGTGTACATGTGTATGTGTGTGTACATGTGTGATTGTGTTTGTGTGTACATATGTATGTGTGTGTACATGTGTGTATGTGTGTACATGTGTGATTGTGTTTGTGTGTACATGTGTATGTGTGTGTACATGTGTGACTGTGTTTGTGTGTACATGTGTGATTGTGTATGTGTGTGATTGTGTGTACATGTGTGATTGTGTATGTGTGTACGTGTGTGATTGTGTATGTGTGTACATGTGTGATTGTGTATGTGTGTACGTGTGTGATTGTGTATGTGTGTGTAGTACACACAAACACAATCACACATGTACACACATACACAATCACACATGTACACACATACACAATCACATATGTACACACGCACATACACAATCACACATGTACACACACACATAAACAACCACACACGCACGATAGACTGCGTGAACCTCACTATCGGTGAATTCAATCTTCAATGGATGGCTGCTGCTGTTTGCCATGTTAAGCCTAATGGAGTTGGAGTCAAAGGTATAGAAGTTTTTGAATCGATAAAGCTTGATATAATTTTTCAAAAAAAATATGGATATTTCAGTAAAATACAGCAACAGTTCAATATATATATACTGACGTTTTAGTATTGTTGGTTATATCTTCAGGAAAGTATTCCTTCAAACATCGTTACTCACTTTTTACTGACAGTACCTATCATCTGGATAACTTGAAGTACTGACATTACCCATCATTTAGATAACTTGAAGTACTGACATTACTCACCATTTAGATAACTTGAAGTACTGATATTACCCATCATCAGCATAACTTAAAGTATTGTCATTGTCCGTGTATATATATAAATCACGGGAATTTGATACCTTAGACTGTATTCTGACTTTCAAAATAACATCACATGACATAATGGAACACAGAAGGGTGTATTTTATTTGTAACAAAAATTAATCTGAAATAACATTTGAACAACTTTCTCTCAAATCTTCCTAAATGTTTTCAACTACACAAGTTTGGTCACAGACACCTTCTCCTCTCCTCTAGTAAGAGAAAACGAATGTAGAACAAACCAATCAATGGGTCACTTCGCTTTGTGCACTGATTACGTAAGTATTCCACGTGGAAGATGTCACATGAAATACAATGGACAAACATTTACAGTAAGGCTTGACGATCGAATATCAACCTTAGCATGGTTAGTAGCCTATACCATCACCTAAACATAATTATTAATTAATTTCTATTCTTCTATAATTAGATACTAATTAATGATTAGTTTTATCCTACCTTTCGGCTGCTGTCCTCTTCAGGGTGCTCTTGGTAATAGTCAGGATTCGATCCTGGGTCCTTTTAATGAAAGTCTGATGAAGATGATAACAGATTATCATCCATAACGAAGGATAAAACTAGTCAGTAATTAGTCGCTAGTTAATAAACTAGTCAGTAATTAGTCGCTATTTAATAACTAGGTAATCGTATAGGCTGTTGACCATAACAACAAAATACAATAATTAATACGATTTTTGGAGGAGTGACGTTTTCTCAGGTCCCCTCTGAAGGAAAATAATACGTTGTTGTTAACAAGATGTTTTTTTTTTATATTATTAATCATATCATAGTAATTTAAAACTACCATTCAAGATATGCGAGATTAATATGATTAAACAATAAACGTCTCCTAGCGGTGACAATGATAAATACAAAATTAGTGTTACTTGAGTGCGTTTGTTGTCTCTGTTTGAACGTAAAGCCACACAATGACCTATCTATCGGGATTTGAGCTCTAGATTTTAAAGTTTTACAGCTGACTCACCGGGGGACGATACCAGAATGTCAAGAAATAGTAATAATTATCTTGATGTTCTATTCTATGAAAAAAATCAATATTTATGATAATAAAAGATTCTTGAAATGATAAGAATTAACTCTTAAGTTTATTTTTCACCTGCTCCATTAGTTTGGCTTTTAAATATAAATTAATCTGCTTTTGGAAACATATGTTTCAAAGTTATAAGTTTTATTTTTCTAATAATGAAGTGTTTTCTTTGTTGCAGTGTTTGCTGCCTGTTACTTTCCTTTTGAAGTTCAAGGAACATATCTCGTCCAGACCCAAGCTTCAGCAGCATATGGAGGCAGTATCGTTACGTACTCAGAACTAACAATTGAAGTTGACGCAATCCCTCCATGGGGGCGTTGCCATCTAAAGAGAGGAAACAACGTCATTGTAAAGGACAGGTGATTAATTCAACTTGTTTTGAAGTTCATGTTTCTATTAGTTACAAATGACTGTTATTTTTTCATCTGTTCTCAATTCAAGCAGAGTTTAAGCTGAAAAATTATCGTTAAGGCAAGGCATGATGGGACTGATTCGTTTTCTACAGCACCAACACGTCCATTATCATAAACCCTATAATAGCACTGAAATACTAAAGTAAAGAATAACTTAAAAATAATTACGTTACTCATACAGTTTACGTCCAAGTATAATTATGAACTGCATGATTTATGATTTATGAAGCTAATAAAATGTAAAGCAATCAATTCTTCTTTCACAACACGTGGTGGGTGTGGCTTGATCACTAGAACTTTCTTGAAAGTTTAGGGCATTATTTGAGCGATTTAAGACATAGGATATGCTAGAGTAGATACTGACTAAATACTGAGTTAGCCATTTTGTCCTTAATGAGCCAGTCATAAAATTGTTTTAGGTTTGTAAATTTCAGTACACGTTTGAAAGAAGTATTCAAGTCCGAATGCACAAGCGAACTTAGCAAGAAAGAGAAATAATTGTATTAGCGTTTCTCTAACTTTAGACCTATCATAGAGCTTTGTTTAAGCCATCTTGTAGATAGTTGTATTAGCGTTTCTCTAAACTTAGGCCTATCATAGAGCATTGTTTAAACCAGCTTGTAGATAGTTGAAGTAGCGTTTCTCTAGCCTTAGGCCTATCATAGAACGTTGTTTAAGCCAACTAGTAGATTGTGGTATTAGCGTTTCTCTAAACTTAGGCCTATCATAGAGCGTTGTTTAAGGTAACTTGTAGATTGTGGTATTAGCGTTTCTTTAAACTTAGGCCTATCATAAAACGTTGTTTAAGCCAACTTGTGGATAGTTGTATTAGCGTTTCTCTAAACTTAGGCCTATCATAGAACGTTGTTTAAGCCAACTTGTAGATTATGGTGATAGGCCTAAGTTTAGAGAAACGCTAATACCACTATCTACAAGTTGCCTTAAACAACGCTCTATGATAGGCCTAAGTTTAGAGAGACGCTAATACAACTATCTACAAGTTGGTTTAAACAACGCTCTATGATAGGCCTAAGGTTAGAGAAACGTTACTACAACTATCTACAAGCTGGCTTAAACAATGCTCTATGATAGGCCTAAGTTTAGAGAAACGCTAATACCACAATCTACAAGTTGGCTTAAACAACGCTCTATGATAGGCCTAAGTTTAGAGAAACGCTAATATAAAGCGTTGTTTAAGCCAACTTGTAGATAGTTGAATTAGCGTTTCTCTAAACATAGGCCTATCCTAGAGCGTTGTTTAAGCCAGCTTGTAGATAGTTGTAGTAGCGTTTCTCCAAACTTAAGCCTATCATTGAGCGTTGTTTAAGTCAGCTTGTAGAATGTATGTCTCAAAGTTAAGATATATTTGTTATCAATAAGTGGAACTTGCATTATATTTTAACCGAATAATTCAAGAGAATTTGTCGAACAATAGAATACTACCAACAGCATGCAATACTTCTTTTGAAATAGGTGATTTGCTTAATAATCAGTTTACTTTGATATTTTTGTAGCAGTTTCTATTTTGGGCGGGTTCTTTTGAAGTATTTGGTAATAAGAACGCAAAGTCCAAACAACTGAATAAGAAAGAAAGTGTTCTATTTCTTGAAGTGCGAGTTCTAAAAGTTAGTTTTTCATTGACAGGCACAAGTTCCATGTAGACGTTAAAACAAACATTTCAATTACTTCTTAACTTCGCTCGTAAGTACGACACTCTCCTGTCTCTTATATTGATACTTAATCGCAAAAACAATATCAAAATTTACAAAACTGAACTGACTAAATGACTGACAGTAACAGAGAAACCGATAAAAAAATGCTACCTCAATAATCCAACATTCACTGTAACATACTTAGATATCAGACATAATCTACTCTATGATAATTCGCGTTTTATATCGTTTACTAAACTTTCAACTAAATTCCAGACGTTTATCAACGCGTTCATCGCGTAATGTGAAAACGACCTCTAGCCAATATTAATAGAAACGTCTAAGTTAAGAAATATAGCTTGAATCAGTTCTTTCATAATAGTCAGTTTAGTTACGTATAAAACATTTGTTTTTTAGCAAATGAGATGTCTTAAAATATCTGATGTTCCTTTAGTGCTGGAGCTGAAGACTGTTTAAGGTGTTTTCATCTGACACTCAAGACACCGAATGTCATTCAGATCCACACTGAAGGTAAGTTATCGTTATCTGAATCCATGCATTTGGAATAAAGGACAATTATGTAGATCCACATCGGAGGACATGTTATCGCTCTGGATTCACATATTATAAGTAAGTGGAAATTACTTAGATCCACATCGGATGACATGTTATCGCTCTGGATTCACATATTATAATAAGTGGAAATTACTTAGATCCACATCAGAGACATGTTATCGCTCTGGATTCACATATTATAAGTAAGTGGAAATTACTTAGATCCACATCGGAGAAAAGTTATCGCTGTGGATTCACATATTATAAGTAAGTGGAAATTACTTAGATCCACATCCACATGTTGGTTTCTATGTATGTAGTAACAAAACATGTTGGTTTATATGTATGTAGTAACAAAACATGATGGTTTATATGTATGTAGTAACAAAACATGTTGGTTTATATGTATGTAGTAACAAAACTTATCGGTTTATATGTATCTAGGAACGAAACATGTTGGTTTCTCTTTGTTTAGGAACAAAAAATATTAAATGCAGGAACATCTTTTGTTTTACGATAATAGGCCTTGGACGATGTTACACTAATGAAGAGGCAGCACGCGCCACCTGTCCAGATGACAAAGCTGTGTTTGAAAGGCGGTTCAAAGAAATAATTTTGTACAGTGAGTATAAGCAAACATTGATTTATCCCTATATCCCTAAATTAATCACAATAAGTTAGGTTTACTACTATGCTAGTATTTGCTCGTCATATATGAAGTTTAGAAACCAAATAATTAGTTACAACCAGATTAGGACACCTAACGTCAACAAAGTACACTATTCTTTGTGTACATCCTCTCGCCTCCTATGAAATCACGAGATATGACGCTCGTCACATATCTTTTAAGAACGATACAGCTTAATGTTTTCGTCTCCTTTTGATGCACTCACTAATAAAATCTAAAATTTTATTTTACGAGTCGAGAAATGGAGAAGAAATCCAGGAAACTCGAGGTTTTTTTTTTGTTTTCCAGATTCGTTATTTTGATTGAAACGTTTGTGTAGGATACGGGTGAGTTTGAGAACGAATTTCGCTCTGCAGCCTTTTTTGTGGAGGTAAATTTTTTGTAACATTTTCTTTGTTGTTTTTAAGCCCTGGGGTGTACCACGTGATCTACGCCCGTAAACTAACATTGAGATGTAGATGGAGATGCAGGCAGTACATCGATGGTTAAAAAAAAGATTAAAACAATCCTGTGGTAAGCTGGTATTTCTTTTGTAGTTCTGAAAAATCAGCTTTTTCGGATGACTTGCAGCTCCTAACAACAGAATGAGTGAAATATAGTGTTTGACGACGTTTCGGATGACTTGAAGCTCCTAACAACAGAATGAGTGTTATGCAGTGAGTGACGACAGTTCGGATGATTTGAAGCTCCTAACAACAGAATGAGTGAAATATAGTGTTTGACAACTTTTCGGATGACTTGAAGCTCCTAACAACAGAATGAGTGATATGTAGTGTTTGACGACGTTTCGGATGACTTGAAGCTCCTAACAACAGAATGAGTGTTATGCAGTGAGTGACGACAGTTCGGATGACTTGAAGCTCCTAACAACAGAATGAGTGTTATGCAGTGAGTGACGACTTTTCGGAGGAACTCCGTTACCAGTCTTCTTACATTCATCTCAGAAGTTATTTTTCAAACTACAGAACCTCCATACGAGTAAACCCGCTCAATCCTTCTTTTTATAGTACATGCCATTCTCCTTTGTTTGTCGGTCATTCATTCACCAGCTTCTAGTAATGTATGTGAACTTTGACCTTACCACTTGGGTTGGACGAAGCTGTAAGTAATGTTTTATCCAACTAGAAGAAACTCGTAATATTACTTTCAAACAAAACTTAAATCAACATTAGCAAAGTAGTTGTTAAAGTGTCTTCCTAAGAAGCTACAGGTGGTAATGGTTAAAATGTCTTCCTAAGAAGCTACAGGTGGTAATGGTTAAAATAACTTCCTAAGAAGCTACAGGTTGTGGTGGTTAAAATGTATTCCTAAGAAGCTACAGGTGGTAATGGTTAAAATGTCTTTCTAAGAAGTTACAGGTAGTTAAAATGTCTTCCTAAGAAGCTACAGGTAGTGGTGGTTAAAATGTCTTCCTAAGAAGCTACAGGTGATAATGGTTAAAATGTCTTCCTAAGAAGCTACAGGTAGTGGTGGTTAAAATGTCTTCCTAAGAAGCTACAGGTAGTGGTGGTTAAAATGTCTTCCTAAGAAGCTACAGGTAGTGGTGGTTAAAATGTCTTCCTAAGAAGCTACAGGTAATGGTGGTTAAAATGTCTTCCTAAGAAGCTACAAGTGGTAATGGTTAAAATGTCTTCCTAAGAAGCTACAGGATCTTGTAGTTTGGCGATATTTTATGAAATATGTTATGTCGTACACACAAACTTGGTGTCATCGCTGTCGTTATTATTCTCTGCTTGTGATCTGCAATCGTGTTTTCATAACACATCAGTAGTCAAGATTACCCATGACATAAACCACCCTGAACAACCACGTTTCATAAACCCATGAACACCATATTTGACAAGTTCGTGAATAGTAAGTTTCAGAAGCCCATGAACTCCACGTTTCACAAGTTCCTGAACTCCATATTTCACAAGCTCGTGAACATAATGTTTCACAAGTCCCTGAATTCCACGTTTCTGCTGTTTTATTGAACCACTAGTGTGAAATTAGAACTGCACAAAATTAAACACAGATTAACAGATCATAAAAACTATCCACTTCGGGTGTAATTATTATGCTTGTGTTTCTCTCCCTAAGTTTCACTAATTGTTCATGGACGTAGGCTGCATACGAAGTTAAGATGTTTGTTTTGTAATTTAAACTCAGCAACATGTAGTACCTGTAATAAACGCCACATTTCGGCTAAACATTCTACACACAAACACCATTAGCAAATAATGTCTGGGTTCGAGAGCACAAAACCAACACAACAATAGTCGTTTCGTTGTTCTTTATATATTTCTCATGAAAATCATTGTTGGAAACTAAGCGTTTCATCTCATTGTTTTCTGGTTCCCAGGGGTTCGCTATTCGTCACGTGACTTCTGCGACGCTCTTGGATGGAAATATTCATGTGTGGTTCAGTTCGTTAGTTTAAATTCCTTTTTCTCCAGTAAAAGTTTGCCACGTCATTGTTCATTATTGTCACGTTACATAATTCACTGCAGCTTAAAATGAAGTTATTCTGTTTTAAATTAAATTAACGTTTCAGTTATCACGCTCGACTTATTTTCAACCTGCATTTCTGATCAAGGTAATGAAAATTAAAATACGCATAATTAAGTACGGTGAACTGATCAGTAGCAACATTTATCCCACGAGAAACATTTTGTTATTATACGTGACTCAGCGTCACCTGTCCAACCACTAGATATGGTTGGTAGCCCCCCCCCCCTTGTGAACAAACAAACGATACAAGCAGAACGTTCTGTACAGCACGACTCTTTCCAAAGCAAGCGTGTTTGTTTGTTTGTTTCAAAACTTTCGCCCAAACCTGAACAGGGCTATTTGTGCATATTGTCTCTAATTTTGCCCTGATAAACTAAAGGGAAGGCAATAGCACCAACCGCCTACTCTTGTGCTACTTTTGTATGAACGAATGGTGGGATTACTCGTTATTGTTATAGTTCACCCAGAACCCCATGGTGCGGAGCACGTTTCTGTGGCAAGTGGGCCAAGAATCCACTAGATCAAGCCCACCCTTTTATTTTAAGAGCTTGAAAATCGTTATTCCAAAACTGTCCCCAGGCATAAATGGCACGTTTATATATTTTATTTCATTAAACGTCTCTAAGAATGTGTGTTGTCAGATTCATTAACTTTATCATTCCTTTTTTGAGGAGATTCTTGACAGTGTATACACTGTACTCTGCTGTTTCCCATGGACTGGTCTTGATCTGTACTCTGCTGTTTCCCATGGACTGGTCTTGATCTGTACTCTACTGTTTCCCATGGACTGGTCTTGATCTGTACTCTGCTGTTTCCCATGGACTGGTCTTGATCTGTACTCGACTGTTTCCCATGGACTGGTCTTGATCTGTACTCGACTGTTTCCCATGGACTGGTCTTGATCTGTACTCTACTGTTTCCCATGGACTGGTCCTGATCGTCCGAAGTATTTTGGACTCTGTTGGCGCAACCTAAGGTCCCAAGAAAGCAGCAGTCCATAACACCCCACCACAGCGACGACGACAGTTGGCTTGAGAAACAGGTAAAAACACACTCGAGTCAACAAGAAATCATGGAGTTCTGGACAGTTTTCTAGAAAACAAACTATTAATTAAAATAGAAGTTCGTTGTCACAAGAATTCTAAAAATATTTGTAAAATATTCACCAAGATAAACCTCAGCTTTAACTAGAAAGCATTCGTAAAATGTTCACCGACATAAACCTCAGCTTTAACTAGAAAGTATTTGTAAAATGTTCACCAAGATAAACCTCAGCTTTAACTAGAAAGCATTTGCAAAATGTTCACCAAAATAAACCTCAGCTTTAATTAGAAAATATTTGTAAAATGTTCACCAAGATAAACCTCAGCTTTAAGTTGAAAGTATTTGTAAAATGTTCATCAAGATAAACCTCAGCTTTAACTAGAACGTATTTGTAAAATGTTCACCAAGATAATTGTTTGTTTGTTTGGAATTAAGCACAAAGCTACACAATGGGCTATCTGTGCTCTGCCCACCACGGGTATTGAAACCCGGTTTCTAGCGTTGTAAGTCCGCAGATATACCGCTGTGCCACTGGTGGGCCCACACCAAGATAAACCTCAGCTTTAACTAGAACGTATTTGTAAAATGTTCACCATAACATAAAACATCACCAAATGTTTGAAAACAATTTGCTTTTGTTGTTTTTTTTTCAAACTGTTTTGGTCTGGCATGTTCTGATGGTACGATACTCGACTCGCAATCTGCGAATCGCGAGATCGAATCCCGTCACCGACCATGCAGTAGGGGCGTTATGACGTGACGATCACTCCCACTTTTCGTTAGTAAAAGAGTTGGCGGGGGGTGCTTTTGACCTCTAGTCCATCCCAAGACTACTTTGGTTCGGGTGAACAGAGTATTTTCTTAACCAAGCCACTAGCTGGCTAAGTTGACTCAGCCAGTTCTGGGACAGTATCACGATAACATTCCTCGTTCCACGTACCACCTATAGTGTTCTAAAGAATGTACTTATAGTTTAGGCGTTACTCTTTAAACAATGGTTTTTTGTTGTTGTTTTTTTTTTTTTTTGAATGGAGAAGTTTCCAACTGGCGCGTGTGATTAAAAAGAAGAATGTTGTAGGCGGATTCTGAAAGTTCGGTGTTTTAAGGATGTCAAACAATGCGACCGTAGTCCGTGGGCAGTGGTAAATGACATGCTTTCTAGAAATACATCATTCTTCGGATTCCTCCAGGGTGTATTAATATTTCACACAGGTAAATCACGGCACGTGAATGTTAGAAGTTGGCGACGTGCCAAAAAAAGAAGGCGAGTTACTAGTTAGATACTGTAGCTTTGTCTGATGTTGGAATATATCCTGTTTCTGGACTTTGGAAGAAAATTAGTCTCTGTATTCAAATATGTCTAAACAACAACTTGTTCTACTTCTTCTGGTCAGGTGAAACTAAACCCAAACATTCTGTGACATCTACACGTGTATATTGTTGTCACAAAACAAATCATACAATGCTCTTGTCTATTGCCGAATTACCTTTTAAACTTATGAAAAAAGTTTTGTTAACTGTAGCAACCATACATAGCAACGTAATATTAGGGAAAGTTTTGTCGTGTGTATCAGAGAAAACAATATTGGGGAAAGTTTTGTCGTGTGTATCAGAGAAAGACAATATTGGGGAAAGTT